CAGAAGATTCAGACTCAGAGGAGTCGAGTCCCAGGAATTTATAGCTCCTCTCCAAGTCTGAGGAGCTCAGGTTGAGTCAGTGCAATGGGGGGCACTACTCCCCAGCAGGAGTGTCACTAGCGGGTATGGACCACACCAGGTAACATCAGGTAACACTTCACTTTTGGCAGAAGCGAGCTGTGGTGTTCATTTATGTCTCTTTAAAACACTGAAGAAGTGGTGTGAGCGGAATGAGGCTCAGTGGGAGGACAAAAGTGAGGCCTCAGGGTTTTTTTTAAAATTAAAATTTTAATTTCAATTTTTTTTAAAAAAATATTATTTTAAATTTTTCTTTAAAAATCACATCTTACCAAATTTTCACCTTAACCACATGAGCTTACGTACATGTGAATGCATTTAGGCTGTGCATATTATATTGCAATTTAAAGGTATAATTTTAATTTTGTTGTTTCTATCCCAACTATTACCATTACATTCAGTGATACATGGGAATTACGATTTATGAGCAACATCAATACAAAAGAAACATTACTAAGGATTCTGTATGGTGTGGTATGGGAGGAGGTCAATAGAGGGATAACACCATGAGTTACAGAAATGGGTGATGCCAACTCTAGTGCCACCAGTGCTCCCCAGAAGGAAGTGGTAGATTCTGAGGTCACACTGTCATCCTTTTCAGATTGTCAAAGAGATAGGGAGAGACTATACCAATCCCAGCTGTTAAATAGGCGATACTGACTCAAAAAGCACCTGGGCGTCTTGAGGCAACTGCCTATAAATCTCCCAGCAGCTCCCTGGCATCTTTGTTGCTTGCAACTGCTCTGTCTCAATGACTGGCAGTACTCTTCAGTGATAGAGTTTTTGTGACTCTGGTCTGGCTATAGTTGACAATTCTGTTTTATTCCTTCCTGGTTGTATCTAGATTATTGACTTACTGTAATGACTTTTGGACCAGCTGACAACCACCCTCTTGCTTTTCTCTTCATCTTGCTGGATAACCTGTGACTGACATAGAATGGATTAATGACCTACAGCTTTTGCACTCCAGCCACCTGATTCTTGGATCGCTTGCTGATTGGAGCATAGGACGGGGTTGCTATAAGTCAGATTTGACTTGAAGGCACAAAACAAAAACGTCTGCAGGTAGGGAATGTAATAATAATAATATGGTTTATTTATATATCCCACCTCTCCCATCATGATCTAACTGATGGCATGTAGAGCTGCTCCATAAACCTTTTTTGGTTGAGGATGGGATAACAATTTTTTAAATAAATAAAGAATTTAAAAATAAATACACTTCAGCAGCTGCAGTTCTGAAGCAGACTGCATACCAGATATTGCATTCATTTGTATTCGTTTTCACAAATATTCACTAGAGATGAGATACTTCTGCCTTTCCTAAGGAGCTTATCTCATTAACTATTAAACTGGCTTACCTGGGCAGGCTTAAAATTTATAACGGGTGGCATCCTGATTTTATCAGAATGATTTGGCCAGGTCCAACCCCACTCCCAGGGGCGCTCTGGCGGCCATTTCCTTAAGCCGGAAAACTCCCAGCTTCGAAAAGGAGTGCACTGAGTGCCTCTGCGAGCAGAGATGGACCCAGGATGGACCTGGGGGTGATTTCAGCAGCTAAATCCTTCTGATAAAATCAGGATGTTATGCATTTGAAATTTTAAGCCAGCTCAGGTAAGCTGGTTTAATAGTTAATGTGATATGCTTGAAGCATAGTTTTTAGAGACCCTGGGAAGGGAGCTGAAATCTGCAGAATGTAAACACTAACACATCAGGCAAATCAAAAATAAACAAGATGTCTCCTTATATATATATATAAAAAAAGACCAAATAGGGATAGTGACCAGAAACTACATATTGAATAGAATTCAGTCAGCTTAGTCATCATGTTTAGAATAAACCATAGTAATCAGTGCAACCATTAAGACATGACTAACCTTAGTCCGAT